AGCAGCAGCAGCAAAACGCCGGAACTAGCTAAAAGACCGTTTAGGGGGCCCCCACCGCAGCCAGCGGGGGCCCCAAGAGCCAATCTCTTACCCAAAACTGCCAATGGGGGCCCCCAGGGGGCCCCCCGGGGGCCCCTAGGAGGTTTAGGGGCCCCCAGGGGGCCTCTAAACCTCCTAGGGGCCCCCCAGGCCTTCTAGGGGGGCCCTAGACTCCCTGGGGGCCCCCTAGGCTTCCTAGGCCTAAAGTACTGATGAGGGTCCCTAGACAGGACCTGCTAAGGGGCCCCTTAGGGGGGCCCCCCTAGGGGGGCCCCCTAGTGAGGCCCCCTAGAGGGGCCCCCTAGGGGGGCCCCCTACGGGGGCCCCCTAGGGGGGCCCCCTAAGGTGAGTCTAGAACTAAAGTACTGGTGGGGGCCCCCAGAGGCTTACAGCTACCACGTGATGCCTTTGGGGGCCCCTTCTGAGCCAGGCAGCAGCAGGCTTCCTGGGGGCCCCTAGGGGGCCCCTAGGGGGCCCCTCGGGGGCCCCTAGGGGGCCCCTCGGGGGCCCCTAGAGGCCCCCAGAGGCCCCCAGGGGCCCCTAGGGGGCCCCTAGAAGTCCCGTGGGGGTCCCCAAGGGGCCCCTAGGGGCCCTCAAGAGGCTCCCTAAGGGTTTTGAGGCCCTTTTTAGTTTTGGCTGCTGTTTGCTTCTTATTGGGTTAGCAGCAGCAGCAGCAGCAGCAGCAGGGTTATCAGCAGCAGCAGCAGGTTTGTCAGCAGCAGCAGCAGGATAATAAAAATAAAAACAAATGAGCAGCAAAAGAATATATTTGTTGCTGCAGCAAAGTGGATGTACAGCTCTCTGCAGGGCCTATTAGTGCCGCCGCCCGAAGCGGCGCGTCTGCTGCTGCAGCTGCTGCTGCAGCTGCTGCTGCAGCTGCTGCTGCAGCTGCTGCTGTTGCTGCTGCAGCTGCTCCTGCTGCTGCGCCTTTTGGTACTGTAGCTGTTGCTGCTGCAGCCACTGCCGCTGCTGCTGGTTGTACTGCTGTTGCTGCTGATAGTACTGATGCAGGTAATGGTACTGCCGCGGCTGCTGCTGCTGCGGATAGTGGGTGTACAGGTGCTGCTGCTGCTGCTGCTGCTGCTGCTGCTGCTGCTGCTGCTGCGTGCGGCCGAGGTGGTCCTGCTGCTGGTTCCCCCAGCTGTGCTTATGGGCTCTGCGATCGAGCAGCAGCTGCTGCTGCTGCCGCTGCTGCTGCTGCTCCGTGTAGAGCTGCTGCTGCTGCTGCTGCTGCTGCTGCTGCTGCAGCGCGTCTGCTGCCTCCTGCGCAGCCCCTCCTCCCCCGCCGCCGCCGCCGCTGCTGCTGCCGCTGCTGCTGCTGCTGCTGCTGCTGCTGCTGCTGGGGGCGTCGGGGCCTAGGATCTGGGTTTCGAGGAGTCTGCGAATTGCTGCGTCGTGTCTGCTGCTGCTGCTGCTGCTGAGGGGAATGAGGTAGTCAATGAGCTGCAGCAGCTCGGGGTGTTGGTACACCTCGCGGGGTGTACATACACCCAAAACTGGCAAGTTCAAGTTCTGCAAAAAAGGCGCAAAAGCCACGCAGTCGAGACACAGCAGCGCGCTGTAGTGAGTTGCTGCTGCTGCCAGCAGCTGCTGCTGCTGCTGCTGCGGCCCCGCAGCAGCAGCAGCAGCAGCAGCGAGGCCCGGGAAGTGCCGCTGCAGCGCCAACTCCCGCTGCTGCTGCCGCCCCACCACCAGCAGCAAACCGCCGCCCCGCTGCAGCTGCAGCAAAAACTTCAAAGCCCTTTTGTAGTGCTGCAGGCAGCAGTAAGGCTCGAACAAGTAGTGCGAAGACAACACGCCCCGCACCCGCGCCACGTTCATCCTGCTGCTGCTGCTGCTGCTGCTGCTGCTGCTGCTGCTGCTGCTGCTGCTGCTGGGTGCAGGACTGGGGTGGGCTGATTGTTGCAGCCGCGTGGGCGGGAGAGGCTGCTGCAGCGGCAGCGACAGCTGCTGCTGCAGCAGCGGCAGCTGCTGCTGCTCTTGGCGATGCGTGATGTGCTGCTGCTGCAGCAGGACACAGTGACTGAACTCAGGGGAAGCTGCTGCAGCTGCAGCAGCAGCAGCAGCAGCACAGAGCGTCGAGAAGCAGCAGCCCCGTGAGAGTTTGCCCTCCTAAAGGGCTTAGAGTTGCCACTGCGAATAGGGCTGCTGCTGCTGCTGCTCAGCTGCCGTCGTTGCTGCTCTCGCTGCTGCTGCTGCTGCTGCTGCTGCTGCTAAGCTGGTGGCGCTGGGAGCTGCAGCACGCTTCGCACAATAGCCCTGCTGCGTCTTCTGCTGCTGCTTCTGCTGTTGCCGCTGCAGCTGCAGACTCACCCAGCTACACACACGATTGCCGCTGCTGCTGCCCCTGCTGCAGCAGCTGCTGCTGCTGCTCGTGCTGTTTCCTCTGCTGCATGCTGCTGCTGCAGTGAGCAAATTGGCCTATAATTGCCGTTTTGCTCTATTTGCTGCTGAAACGACCCGGCGCGGCTGCTGCAGCAGCAGCATCTGCTGCTGCTGCAGCCCAGCCCCGAGCACGCAGCAGCAGCGCAGCAGCAGCAGCATTAACGTACACCTCTTGCGCTAGACAGGAAAAGTATTTTAACAAAAAGTGAAATCCAATTTTTCATTTCATTTTTATCCAGAGAAGTCCAAGTCCTGGTCCTCGTGCTGCTGCTGCTGCTGCTGCTGCTGCTGCTGCTCAGATCCTGCCCATAGCAGCAGCAACGTGTTGATCGCTTGTCTTTGCCACTGCAGCAAAGGAAGTGAAGCCTGAGCCTGCGGGAGTTGGCGAAACGCACTTGTCGCAGCAGCAGCTGCAGTGGGGAGCAGCAGCAGCAGCAGCAACAGCAGCAACAGCAGCAGCAGCAGCAGCCAGCAGCAGCGCCAGGTAAAAAGGCAGCAGCAGCTCCGGATATAAATTAAGGTCCCACCTATGCTGACCGGCGATGAGCAAGGCGGCGCGCCGCTGCTGCCACCGCAGCAGCAGCAGCTGCAGCAGCAGCAGCAAAGGCAGGCTCAGCAGCAACTGCAGCAGCAGCAACAGTTGCAGCCGCAGCCACTGCAGCCGCCTTTACACGGCCTTCAGCAGCCGATGCAACAGCAACAGCTGCCGCAGCAACAGTTGCAGCAGCAGCAGTTGCAGGAGCAACAACTGCAGCAGCAGCAACTGCAGCAGCAACTGCAGCAGCAGCAACTTCAGCGGCAGCAGCTGCAGCACGCTCCGCAGCCGCTCTTGAGCTCTCACCATCAGCAGCAAATGCAACAGGAGCAGCACCAGCAGTTCCTGCAGCAGCAACAGCTTCAGCAGCAACAGCTGCAGCAGCAGCAGCAGCTACAGCAGCAGCAGCTGCAGCAGCAACAGCTTCAGCAGCAGCTGCTGCAACAGCAGATGCAGCAGACAGCAATGCAAAGTCCACAGCGCCAACTGCTGCTCTCGCAGCAGCAGCAGCAAATGCAGCAGCAACAGCTTCTCCAGCAGCAGCGCCTCCGTGCGGTTCAGCAGCAGCAGCAGCAGCTGCAGCAACAGATGACACAGCAGCAGATGCAGCAGCCGTACCTTGGCGGGCTGCGTCTGGGTATGCAGCCGCAGCAGCCGCAGCAGCCCCACCGCATGGTCACTCCGCAGCAGCAGCAGCAGCAGCAGCAACTGCAGCAGCAGCAGCAGCAACTGCAGCAGCAGCAGCAGCTGTACATGCGCCAGATGTCGCCAGCCCCAAGTAGGTCATTAGCAGCAGCACGAGCAGCAACTGCAGCAGCATAGCCGCACGCCGGCCGCCGTCGCCAGCAGCAGCAGCAGCAGCAGCAGCAGCAGCAGCAGCAGCAGCAATTTGAAGTTTGCTTCCTTGCTGCATGCGTTGCTTCGGTTTGCTGCGCAGGCCCCGTGGCCGTCTACTCCCCACACCTCCAGGGGCCCCTGGGGGCCCCCGAGGGGCCCCCCTTTATGTCGCCTTCGATGTCAGTGGGCCCCCCAGTGTTGGGTCAGGGTTTGCGGAGGGGGCCCCCTGGCGGCCTCTGCAGCAGCAGCAGCAGCAGCAGCAGCAGCAGCAGCAGCAGCAGCAGCGGGGGCCAGCCGGACCGGGGCTTCCCCGTGTCTTCGCGGGGGTCGCCTCGCCGGCAGGCGCAGCCGGTGCGTGTGGGGGCGGCCTCGCGCTCGTCAGCAGCAGCAGCAGCAGCAGCAGCAGCAGCAACTGCAGCAGCAGCAGCAGATGCTGCAGCAGAGTCCCCCGCGCTGCAGCAAGAGCCGCCCCTGCGGCGCCTCATTATGGCCCGAAGGGCCCGCCTTCGGCTGAACCCTTTAATGCGTTATTTGCAGGGGCCCATTAAGGCCAGCAGCAGCACGAGGGGGGCCCCCCAAGCAGCAGCAGCAGCAGCAGCAGCAGCAGCAGCAGCAGCAGCAGGAGCGGCGGGGGCAGCAGCAGGAGCGGCGGGAGCGGCGGGAGCGAGCCCCCAGAGCGGGGCCCCAGACGGCGCGCAGGGGACCCCGGAAGACCCTGCTGCTGCTGCTGCTGCTGCCGCTGCTGCTGCTGCTGCTGCTGCTGCTGCTCGGGAGCCCACAGCAGCCATTCGCGGCTGCACGACGCCCATAGACATTGAGCGCTACTACGAGGCCGCTGCAGCAGCAGCAGCAGCGCGAGGCGCAGCAGGCGGAGCAGCAGCAGCAGCTGCTGCTGCTGCTGGCAGCCAAGCAGCAGAAGCTGGGGGGGCCCCCGCAGCAGACAAGGGGGCCCCCAGTGCTGCTGCTGTGTCAGTGAAGGAAGACTCGCTGCAGTGGTGTGTGCAGCAGATTCAGCAGGTGCTGCAGCAGCACCCCGAAGCAGCAGCAGCAGCAGCAAAGCTGCGAGGCAACCGCCCCATGCTGCACCAAGCCATGCTAGCAGCAGCAGCAGCAGAAGCAAGGGCCTCCCAGGGGCCCCGGGGGCCCCCAAGGAGTCTTGGGGCCGTTGGCTTGATGCAGAAATGGCCCCCCCTCCTGCGGAGTT